ACTCAAAATGTAAGTCTGAGTTGCAAACTCAAATTTAAAAGTTGAAGAATCAGTTGGGCTCGAAATGAATAGTTAGAGTTGAAAGTAAGATTAGAATTAAGCTCAAATCAAACATTTTATATGTTGAGTTGGGACTCCAAGTGTACATTTAACCTGCCCGAGTTGCGTAATTGAAACTAAAATTTTTACCGTCCAAATAACATGCATGGCAAAAGCGTATGATACATGCACATACAAAATTGTAAGACAGTATTTCAGTAATATCTCCTCGAACTCAAGTGGAGATTGAGTTGAAGTTTTATAAAAATAAAGCTATTTGTCAGTGGAAAAAATAGTACAAGCCAAAAAAGAAATTTTTTTGATTCCGAATTGAAAACGACCTCATAACACAATTGTAAATTTTAATTATTCGTGCAAATCATTAATCACAAATAAACATGAATCTCAAATCTTAGAACTTCATTATTCTTACATACATATAATGCATAAATAAATATAGTTAGATATAAATACCTCGATCTGTAATTGCAAATATCGTAGATATCAAGGCAAACGTCGAGATCCTTTCTGTGGAACGAACAATGTGATAAACTGCAAGTCAAAGTGTGAAAACTAATTTCTCTCTCTTGACCTTTTGCACACATAAACACTATACGTGTTATTTTATTAACCTACATAACTAATGGGAATATGCACTTTTATAAAGGCAGAGAGAGGACTAGTTTTCCTTTCAGTAACTTTAATTCCACTTTCCATCAAAGTAAGGAATAAATAGGAAAACACTTCTCCAATAATTAATTACCAAAAAGGTAATTTAATAAGTAGACCAAATAATATAATATTAATCTGATATCTATTTACATAACCACTAATTAATAAAATATATCACATGTCTAAATCATGTGGGTCACACAATTAATAAATAATCTAACAACAATATCTACTTTCAACATACCTAACAATGATTGCTTTTTTCCAAATGAATGCTCTCAAACTCAATCTGGTGACTCACTCTTGTTGCAACGACTAACATGGCTAGTATTGTGTACATAACTGGATTAAGATTTGGATTCAACCATACCACCACCACCACCACCACCACCACCACCACCACCACTACTATGAATATTTCTAAGAAAAGCATATTTCTCCATCTTAAAAAATTAAATTGTTTGAAAAGATAAACAAATTATAGTTCACATTTCGTAAGTGACTGTTAAAATAAAGCAAATAAAGATGAGGACGTGTAGAAGAGATGTTGAGGAATCCCGGGGCTTATTAAATTAGAATAGATATTTTCCATCCCCCCCCCCCCCCCCCTCCCCCCCCCGCGCCCGAGGGACAATTAGATTAGACATATAGATATTTAACTTTGGTCAAAACAAGAATTTTAGCTTTCATGACCCCCTTTATACAAGAATAAAGATGTATGAATCCGTCCTCCTCGTAGAATTGGACAAAAGGTTTCAAATCCTCGAGATCACAGCCTTTGGTCTAGATAAGAGGCTGATTAAAGTTTCTGCCAAATGATATATTACAGCTGAAAAACTTTTAGTTATTTCATTTCTTTTCTAACAAAATATCACATGCCAAATTTTCACTCATAATATAAACTTTTATATGCCTTAATATTAAATATGAGGTACATAAATTTTGGGGGTGATGGTTACACCCCAATTTTCAGTAGTCAATTATAAAGTGGCACGTGGCAAGTTCCAATGGAACATATAGTAGTAGCAAATTCTTATGCCAATGGCCAGTAAGTGCTTGGCACGTGGTCATATAAAGGTGAATGGATCAACTGCCGCTAAGATCCTCTTTGCACCATAAATTATCAGTCAATTTCCAATGGAAGGTTAATAAGTGGCCAATTACAACTTTTTAGTAAAAATTAGTATCTTCTAAGCACTTTGGCAAGAAACTAATCAAAGTTGGACACTTCATATTAAAAAGGTCACACCTGTAACTTTTTGCACTATAATTATCGATTAATTTTAAGTGATAATTTGTTATGGCCGATTCCAATAGAAGGGTGATGTAGAAATAAGGATACAATCATAAAGCAGCACGTGGATTCATTTGAGAAATTCATTTGGTAAAGTAACTGCCTAGGGACACGTGACAAATTTCTAGGATAATGGTTATGATTAAAAGTTGTATCCTCTAAGTGGGACATGTGGGAGACAAAGAGGTAAGTAGTTACTTGTAGTTGGGAAATCGTCACTACTGAGTGAGACTTGTGGCAGGCAATGAGATAAGCAGTTACGTGCAGTTGGAAAGTCGTGACCTTTGAACGGAACACGTGGCAAGCAAAGAGGTAATTGTTGTTGGAAAGTCAGGACCATTGAATGGGACACGTGGCATGCAAAGGAGTAAGCAGCTACCTGCAGTTTAAAGTTGTTGCGTCTTCCAAGTGGGACACATGGCAAATTTCTAGTGGAGAAACGGTTATTGTATTGGAAGGTTCTTGCAATAAAGTAGTAGTAAAAACAGAACGTGCTTTAATACAAGGGACAAAAAGAAACTTGGAGGTAGTATGCACTTCAATTCCTCTACTTTCAGCAATTTCCCTTTTAAGTACTACATTTTTAATTTGTTAACTTTTTCAGTTATAAAAATCTCCTAAAGTCCTTTGCTACAAATGCAAAAAAGGATGTTAGAGGTAGTCATTCCAGGCCTCCTCTCAATTGCATGATCTTTTAAACTTCCATCTGGAATATTGTTTGGAGTCTTCACTTGGAACTTTTTGAGTTCCTGTGACTCCCATAGTTCCATTAAAACTAAGGGTGTAACTTGGGTTGGGCAACCCGAACCCAACCTAAGTTTTTACGAGCTTGGGCAATCATTTTGACAATTAGGGCTGACCTGAGTTGAAAAATCTCAACCCGAACTTAATAAGAATTGGACTTAGGTTGAGGTGCTAGCAACCCAATCTCAACCCGAACATGAATTCTAATATTATTTTCACATATATTTTTTATTTTAAATACATTATATTTAATATTCAAATTATGTTCACGTTTTTTTCTTTTCAACTTCCTTTATTAAATATTAATTTATTGTTTGTTAAAATTTAGAGGAATTAATTCTCTAAGATTTGTTTGTAGTTTATTAAAATTTTGCAATAATTTTTAAAAATTTCTTTTTGTTTAATATGAAGTAGTAATTTAATGTGAAACTAATTCAAGATCGCAATAAAATTTCAGTGTGGAGATTAGTCATATGGGTAACTTGAATTAACCACGACTTTATAACTCGGAATGTAAGCCTGAATTGCAAACCAAGTTTAAAAGTCAAAGAATGAGTTGGACTCAGGTTGAGCAGTTAAGATTGAATATAAGATTAGAATTGAACTTGAATGGAGCATTTTATATATTGAGTTGGGCTGAAAGTATACCTCTAACCCTGCATCCCTTATTGAAACTGAAATTTTTACCGTCCATATCCTCAAACTCAAGTGGAAATTGAGTTGAGTATTTAAGTAATATATTCTCAAACTCAAGTGGAGATTGACTTTAAGTATTTAAGTAATATATCCTCAAACTCAAGTGGAAATTGAGTTAAGTATTTAAGTAATATATCCTCAAATTCAAGTGGAGATTGAGTTAAAGCCAACCGGTGAGTAAGTTATTTGTCATTGGGAAAAAAAATAGTACAAGCCAAAAAGGAAACCTTTTTTTATTCCTAATTTGAAATCGACCTCCCAACAAAATAGACTAACTCTGATTATTTTTGTCCAAATGAATGCTTGCTCTCAAACTCAATCCGGTGACTCACTCGCGTAGCAACCATCATTATTATTATTATTATTATTATTATTATTATTGTAGCAAACATCTAACGAATTAAGTAAAGCATATTTCTCCAACTAAAATAATTAAATTGTTTGAAAAGAAAAACAAATGATAGTTCACATTTCCTAAGTGGTTGTTATGAACATAAAGCAGATAAAGATGAGGTTGTTTAGAAGCGATGTTGAGGAATCTCAATGCTTTTAATTAGATTAGACATTTTATTTAATTACAAGGACAATTAGATTAGACATAAAGAAGATATTTAACTTTGGTCAAAACAAGAATATTAGCTTTCATGACCCGCTTTATACAATATATTTCACTGACATAGAAATATCCCATTATACCTTATCGTATTAAAAGTTCAGAATTCAATAATTAGAAAAAGACGTCTGATTTTGTAATGAGCACTCAATCTTAGAATTAGCAAACATTGCTTTCCCCGGGGTCCCTCACTAGCTCTACTTTCCGCCACAAGCATCAAAAACAAAACTAGCATTCAAATTAGTAGCACCGACTCTTGTATTTGTATTCATGCTTAGTTTGAGCTCGTATTTAAGATTACTTTAATTTGTACATAAACTTATATGTATTTATGCTTTTAGAGACATATCAGCGTTGACAGGGATCTGAGAGGTAAATTCTTAAGGTTACGCTTTCGAATCGCACTCCTGACTTAAATGACAGGTGTGTTGTGGACTCGATACACATGTTCTAAGAAGAGAAAAATATATATATATATATACTTATATGTATCTACACTAGCATACATTAATAACCTTCATGAACCTATCGATCCAATACTTAAGAAATTCATGATATAATTGCGTATGTCAATCTCAAACTATACAGTTCGGTTCATTTATAACCCTACTGCGTGCATCGGAAGAATAATATTTACTTAAAATAATACTATCCTCAATATAATAATTGTTCAAAATATCTCCAGCAGAACTTATAGAAAGTTCACATCAATCAGTTCATTAAATTGAATCCATCACCACAAGTCACAAAGGACACTCGAACGTGAAGGCAAAGGTGCTGACTGAGTGACTGATCTAGCATAATGTCTGCTGTTAATTATATACCAGCAAACAAATCGTGCCTTCATCTGGATTTGGGTAGGGATTGTGTAGTTGAGAAAATGGCCAGGCATTTATTTTTTTTTGGGGGGTGGGGATTTTTTCAAGAGATAAAATAAGAGAAAAATGTGGAGAAGATGATTTTTGAAAGTTTCAATAGAAGGAATGAAAAGCAACTGCCCATCCTCCCCATATGGGTGTCGCAGGGAAATCTTTCGGACAAAGTGCACCTATGGTAGCACGCACAACCCCGATACACACAATCCCTGCTTTGTTGAACCATAAATTAAAAACACATACATGCCTTAACGAAAATGGCTAGCTTTACGGCTTTACCAAATCAAAAAATGCAAATAACAATAATAATAATAAAGTAAATCTTCAACCAGCAGCTTAAAGCCTTAAACGACTGCGTTTGCATTAAAAAATGTTATGGATAAAGACATATTTGGATGATGAATTCCACTCTTAGAGTCTTACTGCACTCTTACCAACCTATTGCAAAAGTGTAAGAACAATAATCTCTCCCGCTAGCTCAATCTAACTAATGTTTACAAGGATGAGCTGTCTAGACTCTAGAAAGAATAGGAAGAAACACAAGATGGCAGAGATAAAAGCTTGTTAGAGACTCTAGATAAGAAACGCAAGCCGATAGATATTGTGGGGATTCTTTATTACAATGTCGCTTCAAGTAGCAAGGTGATATCTAAATACAAAATGTGATGAACCTTGACAGGTGCCTTCGGAGGAAGGAGAAGAAGCATACTAGTCAATGAAATTAGTGATGAAAGTAGGAACACCGTTTGTCTTGTATATGGGTTTTCAGTTATTCATTTATGGCCTTGTGCATGCATGAAGACCTCTATTTATAGCCTCGGTTATCTCAGCTTGTTACCTAACTCTCGAGAGTAGCTCTTAGAGCTTGAGCCTACTTTGCTAGGCCAGCCATCATGACTCTCCTAGTGTAGTAGGGTCACCATGGTCATTTGGCTCGAGATCCTTACAGATTAGGGGTTGCAATATTTGACACGACACGCTAAAACGACACGAACACGACACGAGGTAAGCGAGTTTGTGTTTGGGCTAATCGTGTTCGTGTCATAATTGTGTTGACACGGATTGACCCGTTAACTAAACGTGTCATGTTCGTGTTTGACCCTATAAACACGATTAACCTGATTAACTAAACGTGTCAGATAAACGTGTCGTGTTCGTGTAAAAAATGACCTATTTAGTAAAACGTGTAGAATAAATATGTCGTATTCGTGTCAAAAATGACTTAAATGTGTCTTTTCGTGTTGTGTCAAGTCTTGATCCATTTATTAAACAGGTTATGCGTGTCGTGTCGTGTGACACGTATAATAATCATGCCGTGTTCGTGTCAAGGGTATTAGACACGATTAATAATCGTGTTGTGTTCGTGTTCGTGTCAACCCTAATCGTGTCCGTGTCGTAATCATGTCGACATGAACACGACACGCCAACACGAATTGCCATCCCTATTCCAGATCCTCGAGTAAGAGACAAAGACCCTCGAGACCATCCTACCTTGGTCTCGAGGTAAGTTTATTCTTTGTAGAAGATGTCCCCAAGCGCCCCCTGTGTGGGTGTCGCTCTCAAGACTGAAAGGCGAGATTCCGATGTGGTCTTGCTAGAGGAACTCTACTGTGGCATGCTTGAGCTCGGTCAATGCCATGTTGTTATGCCACGTGAATCTGTGAGATCCACCCCCTATAGATATAAAAGCTTATAGATACACCATTGAAGAAAGCAGGAGCTATGAAACAATATGAACCGAGTCAATGAAATCAGAGAACATATTCCAGTGGAAGAGCGGCTATTCCAATGGAAGGTTCTTGCGGTAAAGTAACAGAAAAAATAGAACGTGGGTGTAAGCTGAGCATAGCAAATGGAAATATAGGACACTTGGAGAATTTTCATTGGAAGAGCGTGGTAGCAGGCGATTATTGCAGTGAAAAGTTATGTAAAAAAGTAGCAAGAAAAGCATAACTTGTTACAAACGTGGAACACGAGATGAGATGAATCAGAGCAACACGAGACATTTGGAAAACTCTCATTAAAACAACGTAAATGCCGATTTTAGAAACTCTATAAATAGGACACACATGCAATTTGCCAACCATATTCACCACGCAAACAACATTTTATTATCTTTCAATTCAAGTCTTGTACTTTTCATTATCTTTTTATATTTAGTAATGTATTTCCATTATGTTTAAATAAAGTTCTACACTTTAGTTACTCTACTTTCAGCAATTGTCCTTTCAATATTTTACTTTCGAGTCCTGCATTTTCTATTTTGTTTCCTTTCAGCCATAAAAATCTCCCAAAGTACATTGCTTCAAAGGCAAAAAAGAACTAGGCCTACTCTCAATTACATGATCTTTCAATCTTCCATCTGAAATATTGTTTGAAGTCTTCACTTGGAACTTTTTGAGTTCCTGTGACGCGCATAGTTCCATTGAAACTAGGGGTGTAACTTGGGTTGGGCAACCTAAGCCCAACCCAATTTTTCAAGGACTTGGGCAATCATTTTTATAACTAGGGTTGGCCTGAGTTGAAAAATCTCAACCCAAACTTAATTAGGATTGTGCTTGGGTTGAGGTGCTAGCAACCCGAGCCCAACCCAAACTTGAATTCTAATATTGTTTTCATATATATATATATATATATATATATATTAGTTTAAATACATTATATAAAATATTCAAATTATGATCACCTTTTTTTTTTCTTTTCATCTTCCTTTATTAAATATTAATTTATTGTTTGTTAACTAATGTTGGATTTTATTTTACTACTCGCAATAGTACGAATCCTTTGCAGGATAGGGCTACTTAGAGGGTGTCGAAACTCCGGGATTATGGCGGTTTTATCGAGTTTTCAATTAATTACTTTTTTAATTTAGAAGGAAAGTTTGTTTGTTGTGTTGCAATTCAATAGCATGAACAAAAATTAAACAAAGTAAATAAATTGATATCAGAGAGAGAAGATCTTAGGGCTTGATTTCATCATGAACCTCATACTATGGTCAATTGTCTCAACCTTGGGATTTCAATGTTTATATATAACTCGGAATTAAAATCAATAACATTCATTTAATTCAATTTAAAGAAAGATAAATCATGAATGTTTGTTAAAAATAACTTATCTTTAGTTGGCACGAATTATCTACCTACCTACTTTTAACTAATGTTGCAGAATAATCCATCTTCCCTAAGTATATATTATGAAAACATTCATTCACAAAAACGGTTTACGCACCATTGCATGATCTCTATTATTATTGTCACGAGAAGCCCTTAGCCGCCAATCTCAAACAAGAATAGGTAGATTTTGATTAGAGAAGAATTAAATCTAAGACAAGGTATTAATTTATCAAAAACTAATTTATTCAATTAAAAACCCAATTGCTGTGAGATATTATTTATTTTTTGGCAATTTTCGTAGACATAACAAGTCCAAGTTGAGTTGTAATTTAAATTACTTGTTCTACAAGTCATCAAGTTCAACAGGAATTTCACAACTGGGAAGGAGTTCAAACTTACCATACTTGAAGAGTTTGTGATGAAAAGGGTAAGGACACTACATGAGGAAGGAATATGAACAAGGTTGGACATTCTACACTTTCCATGTTAGTCTACAATTTCTGTAGAATGAACCAAGGCTGAAGGAATTCGAAAATCCAAGTCTGCCAACCTTGAACCGGTTCAGCTTCCTTGAACCGGTTCAAGATGTTCAAGTTTGAGTCACTGCCAAACTTGAACCGGTTCAGCTTCCTTGAACCGGTTCAAGATATCCTGTTTGCAATACAATTGCAATTTTCTTATTCTGATTTATTTCCCAATTGGTCTAGAATTGTACCAAATCCTATGCATGAAATTTACCTTATTTTCAGAGGGATTAGGTCATTCTATACTCTATATAAATCATGTCATATACATTGGTTTATTTACGGCTTTTACATTATAATTCAGAGATTATTCAAAGCCTTAGGAAGTTTATTTATCTCAAAAAATCAAAGTTGATTTTTCTGTTTTCTTCCTAGAACATACACTTATACACCTAGTTAGGTTAGAGTTGTAGTGTTCGAATCCTGATCGTGATCATACAGTTATATCAACATCGATCAAACAAAGCAGATCTTCTTCTACATCATTCAGACGATTGAAGAATAGAAGTAAAAACAGTCACACTTTGGAAGGATTGGAGCATTCATGAAGTGCTGTCTGATCTACCTGCTACTCTTCTACGAATATCAAGTGTAAGCCTGAGGTCAAGTTGCTGTTGGACGGGGAGTCGCAAAGCCAGAGGATCGTTAGCGATTGGTGTGGTGTAGAACGATAAGGTGTGAGCCAGAGTCAAAGTTCGGTATACTTTGTTTCAAGTATAGTGGATTGGTTTACTTTGGACTGCACAAGTCCACAAGGTTTTTCCCATTGCAGTTGAAGTATTTTATCAACTGGGGTTTCCTCGTTAAAATCCTGGTGTCATCTCTAACTTTATACTTTGCTTTATTTTATATGCATGTGATTAATAGTTTAATTGTTAAAATAAAGTAAGTTAGAAAAACACAAGATCTGGTTTTACAAAATCTAAAACTTTCTTATATACATTCCGCTGCGTACGACTCATAAATTTGGTATCAGACCCAATCTCTATACATTGAGTTGATCCTTGTTCAAAAGTTTAGTATTGTTTTCAAAAATTGTGTTAATCATGTCTTATGCGTTGAAAGAAGGCGGTTCTAATCAATGTGGTCCTTTATTTGATGGAGATAATTACAATTTTTGGAATTCAAAGATGAGAGCCTATTTGCAAAATTCTGGTGGTAAAACTTGGATAATAGTTGAGTCTGGCTATACACTTCCAACAATAGATACAACTGTGGATGGTAAAATAGTCAAAGAGTTAAAAGATACATTTGCTTTTACTGCTATTGAAACTGAGTGTAATGATGCTAATGGCAAAGCTTTATATTCAATTATTAATTCTGTTGTTCCATCAGAATATGCTAGAATTTCTGATTGTAAAATTGCTAAAGAAGCTTGGGATATTTTATAGGTTACTCATGAAGGAACTTCAAAAGTGAAGTTGTCCAAGATTCAGTTGCTCTCTCATAAATTTGGCAACATTGTAATGAAAGAAGATGAATCATTTTCTGATTTTTATTCTAGTCTTCTTGAAATAATTTCTGAACTATGTCACTTAGGGAAAAAAGTTAGTGATAAAAAAATCTGTGAGAAAATCTT